TTTGGTCCAATTATTTTTAGGTTTGTTCACTAAAATACCATTAACTTTGTGTGTAGGAACAAAATGACCGTTCTTCACAACCATTAAAATACCGTAGTCCATGCCCTCAATGAAGAATTTCATTTTCTCTTTTTACAAACTATACCCTTATCCATTAAATGTATGGGTGTTCATGGGTACATGTCAACCCGCGAACCCACTCACCCAAACAACACAACCCTTATTTTGATCAAGCTTAATCATGTATGGATCCAACCCGAACTAACCCATTGAAACCCAATAATATTTGATTTGGGTAACATGTTTGGAATTTTGAATCCGCGAACCTGCAAACTCAATCCATTAATATGTCATGTTATTTTAATTTTATTTCTTTTATAAACTATATAACAAAATCCCTACTATGTATAGATCATTTTTAAGAATATAATTGTAGTTTTTATTAGATGTAAAAATCTAAGTCTAAATCAAATTTGAGAGATTGAATTTTTTTATTGAAAGAGTGATATATCTTACCATATTAATTATATTCTATATATATTTTGTATTTCTTTTTTAACTTGATTTAGATTGTGAAATAGCCTTTAGGTATTAAATGATACATTTTATTCAAATTAAATACTAAGATTTTATGATGTTTTAATGTTTATGTAAAATAAATGTATTAATTGAATTGACTTTTTTATTTATACTAATTATATAAAAATATTAGTGAATGACCCGCAAATCTAACCCAATCCAACCCATTGATGAATAAGTTGATCCGATTCGATTTTAGTTTTAGAAATACGGGTTGAACACTCAACCCAACATAATGATTATTAATTAGGTCGAATATTGGATTTCATCAAATTTGACCTAACTCAACACGCGAATACTCCTAATTAAATTATTTGAATTTGTTTAGTGAATAACTTAAAATCATTTCTCTAGTCAATTGATTAGACCTTAAAAAAAAATTTAGGTGATTTTAGAGAATAAAGAGAGGATTCTCAAAAGTTTTAAGTGTGTGAGTTGCTTTGAGTTATTCTCCTAATCAATTGAAATATTTTTTTTATTTATAAAAACTTACTCCCTCAATTAGGAATGACAATTTGAGTCATCTCCAATGGTCACCTGCAAAATTACCCATAATAGATAAATAAAAATTCACAAAAATAGATACGAGCACGAGCTCGAAAAATTACCCAAAAAATAAGAGGGTATGAGTGCGGGTATGGACACTTTGGTACTCATCCTGCCCCATACCCGCACAATATATATTTATGTATTTTAATTTATATTTGTACATTTTAATTTATATTATTATATAAAAATGTATGTCTATCAATTTTAAAAAGTATATCAATGTTAAACCATTACGTATTTAATATAAGTGTTCGTTTATTTCAACAATATATTTTTTAAAAACTTTTTAATGTATTTAAACTTAAAATGATATGATATTTTATAATTGATCTATTTATTTTTAGTAGGAACACGGATAACGGGTACAAGTATAAATATTTACATACTCATAGACACGGATACGAGTGCTAACTTTGGCGCAAAAGCGTGTATGAGTTCGAATATGAAGATTTTTTAAAATTGCAGATATGAAAATGAGTATTTTAATGCCCTGCCCATTTCCATCCCTATCCTCGATACCTAAATAATTGTCGCATTTAGACTTTATTATCAATTTAAGACTCTTCATTGACTCTTATTGGAAAGCCAAATGAAAATTTACACTGTGTTAAAAGAATCTTACCACTTGACATTACCATTACCCACCTTAATAATGCAAGACATCAAAGTTTTCCATTCAATGAATGCATTATTTGGCTTGTGATGCAAATCGAAACTCAACGTCACCGTGGGACCTTGCTAGTTTGTATATTGCAGTAAACCTTTAACCTTTTCTTAATGAATATATTTTCTTAATGGCCTTTGCTTCCACTTTGTGACATAAAAATCAAGTTTGTATTTAATATGAATAAACACTTTGGAATGAAAACAAAATTTATGTGTATTGTTTGTATTCTTCTTGACTTAAATTTTAATTTCTATAATAGTAATTATAATAACATGAGAAAATAATAAATTTGAAGTAATTTTAGATTTTTTTGACAAAGAAAAAAATCATAGATAATTAAATAGAAAACCCTATGTATAACAAGTGAGTGCACACTCAAGCTCTCACAAAGAGAGAAATGAAGAGATTTGGTACAAGAGAATTAAATGAAAAACTAGAAAAGCTTTTTAGATTTTTTTTAAAATTTTTATTTTTGTGCAAAACAATGAAATATTTTTCTTTAATATATTTTTAAATTTTAAAATATTATAACATAAACTATATTTAAAAAATTATTTAAGTCATTTAAAATAATTTTAAATTCTTTTCTGTTACAAATTTTGAATTTCTCAAAATAAATAAATTTTATATTATTAAAAGTAAAATCCAAAAACCCACTTTACTTTAAATTTCTCTATCCTTTCCGCTTTATTTCACTCTTTTTTTTCTTCAAAGAACCTCATCCAACGAAAACGATCACACTGAATGCACAAAAAAATAATAATATGCTTTTGAATATTGATGGAAATATCCTCGATAATTTTGACATCTCGACTTTAGTGGATTGATTCAAAATGCTAATGGTGCTTGGGTTCACAGTTTTGTAGATAATATTAGTTATTCTAACATCTTTCACGTTGAACTGATGACGATATATCATGGTTTGGGTATGGTCTGAAAACTTAACATCAAAGATCTGATGTGTTATAGTGACTCAAACTCTGCTATCAAATTTACCTCAGAGTCTGTTAATATATGACATTACTATGCTGCAATTCTTCATAACATTAGATAATTTCTCACTAGAGAATAATGAGCTCAAATATTTCATACTCTAAAGGGAGGAGAATGCTTGTGCAAATTATCTAGTAAAACATAAGATTTGTAATGAAGCGGCGTATCGATATTTTGCGCAGAGCTTTTAAAATGGATTAGTCCATATGGGCCGACCCATCAAGTCCGAAAAATCATAGGGCTTAAGCCTTAAAATTAGAGTCCATATTTTTCAAGACTTTTTTAACCCAGTCCTAAGAACACCGCTACCCATTAGGCATAACCTATATGGGTCATGGGTAGCCAATTAGACCCACATCACTATAAATTTTTAAAAATTATATTAATATTTATATTGTCTTCCTCCAAAATAACACATTGATTTTTCTCACTTAACTAAATTTTATCTCTATTCTATTCAATATTTTTCTTTTAAGTAATATTATACATTAATATAATCAACATTCTTTTTTCGTATTCTATTAGTTTCTCTTATGTTAAATATTCGAGTATTATTTTATACAATTTAGACATGTAGTATATTTAAAAACACATTATAATATTTATAAAAGATAATAGAGTATTTAAAAATGTATAATATTTAAAATAATATAATTTTTAATTTTATTTATAATAAATGTTATGACATTTTTATTTTAACTTTTTAGTAAAAAATCCGTTTAAGATTGGATAGTTTCAAGCTCATCTAAGGCCGGACTAGAATAGTAATTTTCGATCCTATATTAAAAATGAATTTTTTTGACCTAACTCTGAAAAGTCTGAGTCTACCAGAACCGGTCCTAAAGTAACCCATTTTAACAGCTCTACTTTTGAGAGTCTTTCGTAAAAATCATCACTCTACTTTTGCTGATTGATGTTAAGAAGACTTTATTTTTTAAATAATTTTTTGTTTTTTTTTCAATTGTACAAAAAAAAAAACTAATAATAGTTTGTCTTGCTTTACATTATCTAACTAGTGAATAATATAATTTTAGGTACATGCCTAAGAGCATCTTTAGTGGGAGTAAACTAAATGGATAAACTAAGATACTTTTTGTGGGTCCAAAGTGATTTGTAGGATTTAAAAAATTTAAAGTTGATTTGAATAGTTTTTACTTTAATGGTAGTTGTCTATAAGAAACCAAAATTTGACCCCACATGGTATTAAATGGTTAATAAAAATCTATTATTTATGTTAAATAATTAATAAAAATCTATTATTTATGTTAAATAATGAGTTAGAGTACGTTGCTTGTGTAGAACACGTAAACTAGTTTTAGAGCATCCCATATGCCATGTTAGCACTACTATAATGCAAATTCCTTATTACTAACGTAAACTATAAAGAATTTTGGTTTAACAACCCTGCACTAAAGTTGCTCTAACATGCTTATTTAGTTATTTCTAGGTACATGCCTAACATGCCTAATAATAGTTTGTCTTATTTTTAATTTAATTTAATTTTCTAAAATTAGTGAATAATTTCCATTATCTAACTCACATAAAACAAAAATTCTTATTTCTAGGTACATGCCTAAAATGCTTGTTTTGGATAAGAGCAAGAGCAGTTGCTTGTACTACTCTGAAGTTCATATTAGTACTAGTCTATGTTGCAGTACAAGTTTTTTTGTTTTTGTTTTTTTCTATATCGATAATAGCAATTTTTAGCAATTTATCAACAAATTTAATATTTTACTCAATCAAATAATTTATTTTCTAAAAAAAATCACACAATAAGGAAAAGATGAGAAAACTAAAAGAGAAAATAAGGGATTGGTAAAAACAGTGACGTTACCGTGTGGACTTAGTTTAATACTACTAGTACTATTTAATAACGTAGCGATGGCATTTGCGATGCAATATCACTGAACAATAAAAAATAACCGGTGTGAAATACGGATTCTCCTTGAAGGTTAGTTCACTCTCAATTTTTCTTCTTCATTTCGTACTCATGCAAATATAATCGATTATTCGCAAATTCACAATCGCTTATTTTCTTGTAATTGATCTTCATACGATTTAGAATCTTCTCTTTATTTGATGATCTTGTAGACTTTCGAATCGGAAATTTGATGAATTTTCAATTTTGATTATGAAATTGAGACTAATATGTGTAAAGGATGGTTTTTGAAGATTGTATATTGTTTATCAGGTTAAACTGTGTGTGTGAGAGATGGAATCACAGCATGTTGCTGAATGGAATGAAGCACAAAAGATTGATATAAGTGTTGACCTTGTTGATGTTGCAAAAAAGCAGCTTGATTTTCTTGCTGCTGTTGATAGAAATCGTCATCTCTATGATGGTCCTGCGCTTGATAGAGCTATCTATAGGTAATATTTACTCTAGTATTGTTATGTATTTAGACCTTGATTGGATAGATAAGCAACTTAACTAAAAGCTAATCATACAAGTGATTATAATAAATTATTTCTATAACAATTTATAGAAGGAAGTTCAACCTCGTTGTTATTTATGCTGATTTTACAACAATTGAAACTGTATATGATTAGGTACAATGCTTGTTGGCTTCCCTTGCTTGCCAAGCAATCCGAATCTCGGAGTTTTGAAGGTCCTTTGGTAGTTCCTCTTGACTGTGAATGGATCTGGCACTGTCACAGGCTCAACCCGGTATGATTTAGTCCAGGGAATAATAGTCATTGTTTCTTATTTATTCATTTCTGTTTGTTTAATGAAGGGTTGAAGTGCTATAGTAATTTTATTTGCTTCGGTTCTTTACACAGGTGAGGTACAAAGTTGACTGTGAAGAGCTTTATGGACATGTGCTTGATAGCTTTGATGTTGTCTCTACTGTTCAAGGGATTTCTGACAGTCAAACTGAAGAAATCTGGAACAAATTGTATCCCGATGAGCCCTACAATTCTGATTTGATTAATCTTATTCCGGAGGATATCTCTAAAAGGATCGATAGTCTTCCAAAATACACTAAATATGATCTGATTTCGGCTGTTAAGAGGCAGATCCCATTCTTTTACCAGGTAATAGTGAGATTAGTGTTTATCCAGTTGTCCCATTTCACATAGCAAAACCATTGACATTATTTTTTTTTTGTTATAATCAATGTCATCAATGTTTGCCAGACCTGTGATCTCTACTTTTCATAGCTTTGATTTAGATGTTTCATGGCTTGAATTTTGAATTCAAACTGATTCATCTTTGCTTCTATCAATTTGTGGTTAGATCAGTGTTGTCATATAGAAGCTATAGCAGCGCTATAATGTCATGGCATGAAAAATGTTCTCACAAATCACATTGCGGCTATAGTGGTGCTATAGCATTGTGGCATAGCGGAATTTTCTCAAATTGATATTTTTTCGTGATCCACAATTGACATCACCGAGTTAGATATATCTTTGTTTACCTTGTTTTGAGAACAGTTTGAAGTATTGAGAACATCCTTAATTTTATTTTGTTGAAAGCATCTCCAAATAACGTTAATTTAATACATTTTGATGTATGGGTCACTGTTCAGTTGTTAGTCTGTTGGATTTTACTAGTGGATTTTTTTTGGGTTCACAGCTAGATAGTACATAATGCTGTATATTCTAAATGGATTTTATATTTCTCATCTTTCTGATAGGTATCAAGACCCTACATAAAAACTGACCTATTTATCAAGGAAGCTGAGGCCAGATATAAAGGCTTCCTGTATCTTATCAAGAGAAACAAGGAGAAGGGTATAAACCGCTTTTGTGTTCCAACATACGATATCGACCTAATGTGGCACTCTCATCAGTTGCATCCAGTTTATTATAGTAAAGACCTCAATGAGGCACTTGGAAAAATATTGGAACATGATGATACTGACTCAGACAGAACTAAAGGAAAGAAACTGGATGTTGGATTTTCTGGAACCACCAAACAGTGGGAAGACACATTTGGTACAAGATATTGGAAGGCTGGAGCAATGTATAAGGGTAATGCACCATCTCCTATCACATCTTGCCCTTTTTCATCTACCAAGATCTGTAAAAAGGTTGTTTCTTCCAATGAAAAGCCACATGAAAATTTCCTACAAGACCGGAGTGTTGTGGAGGTACTTTAGTATTTCTTTGCCATATGTTACATGTTTTAGCCTCTAGTCCTGAATTATGTGCATACATGTATAAAAAAGTTGATGCATCATTTATCGATAATGTATATGAATATGCAAATATTAGTGTATGCCACATATCAGAAGAAGTTTGTATACTAAGTTATTTAAATGGACCAATGGTAGAGCAATGTATCCTTACAGATTCCTAGAATAGTTCAGTGACTTGCAAAACTTTTCATTATAACACGGAAATGAGCTGTTTGAATAATGGATTGTTGAAAGGTTTGTTTACGAAGGATCTAACCAAGGTTAGGATTTCACTTGCAACAAGTTAGACATGTTCGACATTTGTGGTCCTGCTTAGGGGGGACTATTAGTTTAGTGGACTTGTCTATGTGATGCTACAAAAATTGATCCTTCTATGTACTGAATAACTATAATTAAAACAGCTTCTGTTTATGTACAAGAGTTTAACAATAAGTAATTTCCTTTGGAATCCTTTTCTAGGTTTTCTTGGAGTTTGTTGATGTTAAAAACTTACCAGATGGACTAGAAGGAAGTCTCTTTGTTTTATTTTCCAAATCACAGCCTGATGCTTTCTTTGATGCTAAAAGGAGACTTAGTATTTTGTCAGAATCTAGAGTGAAAAATGTTGCATCTTTCCAATGTGAACCTACTGGAGAGCTTCTTTTTGAACTCATGTCCCATTCTTCTTCAAAGTTATCATTCAGAAGATCACCAAAGACACTGGGTACTGCTACATTCTCTATGCAAGACCATCTTGATCCAGTTTCAAAGCTCTCCATTGAGAAATGGTTGGAGTTGGTGCCAAGCTCTGGTACTAATAGCACAAAGCCAATCCTGTTACGAGTAGCCATCTCATTTACTGTTCCAGTTCCTGCCCCATACACACTCCAATTGACTCAATCTCGTCCAGTGTCCAAAAATACATGTTTCTTTAACCTTCCTGTCAAGCCTCAACATGCCAGGAGCTGGACTCATGTCACAGATGAAAATGCCACCAGAATCATCAGTCTGCAAATGAGGTAGATCATTTTCTTATGTTGTGTATGAGTTGAGGTCTTTTTCTTATCATTGAAAGATTTGTGCATGTAAGTTTATGCTTCACATGTGATATGTTTTGTGTCATTGCATTTGAATGATCTCAAAACCACCCAGTGCTAGCTTGCATCCAATTCCAAGATATTCAATTGTGTTGATCCATTGAAGTGCATGTAAATGTGTATACTGAAAGCCAACTTTTTGAATAAAGAAAGCCAATTTTGACTGTCACAATGGTGTTATCTTTCTATATGGAGAATCTCGTGATTGATTTTCATATATTTGACTACATTCCAGGGATATTAAAACCGTAAAGAACATAGAAAACCTTGGAAAGGAAGTTGTTGGCCTCTTGGAGTCAGGTGAAACCCGCCCTCTTGCTGAGTATATGGAAAATGGGTGGAGTTTTATGGGCAACCGTTGGTTGTTACACCTTCCATCCAAAAGCAAGAATGATGGCCATATCTTTGAGCTTACAGGCACCAAGACAGTAAGCATTTATTATCCTGTTCTAAAAACATCTTGTCATGCCATGATATTTCTTGGATCTTATTTCTTGTTCATTTAATGTATTCACAAATCAAATGACTGGTGTAGCCAACCACTTTTTATCATCAACATTGAATAGCCATTCACTTTTTTGTTTTTTGGTTTGTGACTTGAATATGAAATTATTTCGAGGTTCATATATTATTTATAGCTTAGAATTTTCCCATGTTACTTGTTTTTACTTAAAGATGTCATGTTTTTATTGGTAATGCATCTTAAGATTCGTTATAAGATTTGATTTACGATTCAAAAAATAGGTCATCAGATTCACGATTTGATAATCATGATTGGCATGATAATTAGAGCCTCTTTGATACAATGTGGAGAGACAATTAAACTCAAATGCAGGCTCGGTTTATTTTTGTCTGCAACAGGGTACTTCTAATGAGATATAAGCAAAAATGGTATTTGAAAATTTGATGTATCCGGTCTTAATTTTTAATTAGATACATCAAATTTTCATATACCAGTTTTTCTTTTATTTCGTCATGATAATTTGCCCAGATGAAAGCTACATTGTGCATATTTTAGATCATTGAGATTGGTAATGATTTGATATATACTAGTACACATTAGTTTTCTTACTGTCTTGCTTTGCATGTAGTGTGTATATGATCGGAGTATGGAACTCATTATCTGCCTTGGATATAAAATTGTTAAAGATAAACATTAGATACCAAGTTTAGAAAAAAAATTGAACATGAGAAGAATTGGGCTGGTATGATTATCAAAACATTAATTAAATTCTTTCGATTTTTACAGATGAAATTTTATCCTGGAAGGAAGGGAGAATATGAATTGAGATATCATGTGAAAGAAGAAAATGAAATGGACTTTTTAACTGCAGTTGAATTTTCCATAGAAGATCCTTATGGAAAAGCTGTAGCATTGCTGGACTTGAAATCTAAACTTGTTTTGGTACCTCTCTTGCTAGCTACAATTTACAACTGCTATATTAAACATTTTCTTTTTAAGGCATGCATTTATTGTAATATTAACTTATGTATTTTCTCTCCCGCACTTCTGTTTTTCTTTCTAAAATTTAACAGGCAAAGGAAAAGTGGATGGTGTTGCCTGGGATCATATTGACTTTTATTGCTTCTGATAATATGAGAGAGGATGGATATGAAGGCATCATTTCCAAAAGTAAAGATTTGAACGTGAATGACACAGATGAGGAAATTAAAAGAAATGCCTTGAATGGAGTGCAGTTAAGCAGTGAAGTGTGCAGGGGAGAGGCAGGGATGACAAAAAAGGTTGTACTCTCAAGTGGAGGGTGTGGTAGTGGTTGTGGCAGTGGCTGTGGGAATGCAGTGAATAGTGGTGGCTGTGGGGGATGCGGTGGTGGTTGCGGCAGCGGCTGTAGGAATACAGTGAATAGTGGTGACTGTGGAGGCTGCGGTGGTGGTTGCGGCAGCGGCTGTGGGAATACAGTGAATAGTGGTGGCTGCGGTGGTGGTTGCGGCAGCGGCTGTGGGAGTGTAGTGAATAGTGGTGGCTGTGGGGGCTGTGGTGCTGGTTGCGGAAGCGGCTGTGGAGGAGGGTGTGGAAGTATGATCAAGAGTGGTGGCTGTGGGGGCTGTGGTGCTGGTTGCGGAAGCGGCTGTGGAGGAGGGTGTGGAAGTATGATCAAGAGTGGTGGCTGTGGGGGCTGTGGTGCTGGTTGCGGAAGCGGCTGTGGAGGAGGGTGTGGAAGTATGATCAAGAGTGGTGGCTGTGGGGCTGGTTGTGGAAGCGGCTGTGGAGGAGGGTGTGGAAGTATGATCAAGAGTGGTGGCTGTGGCAGTGGCTGTGGTGGAGGATGTGGAGGAGGGTGTGGAAATATGGCGGGGAGCGGAGGGTTTGAAATTGACAGCATGAAGAAGAGTAGTGGATGTGGTGGTTGTGGTGATGATCTCTTGGACAGTAAGTGTGGCTTGAATGAGCATTTGAACGAGGAAGGACACCACATGAATGAAGAAGCAGTTGCTGCTGCATGAAGCATGTTTGATTGTTATGTGCATAAGTACCGTGCAAAACCTATGTCTGTGATATGAGATCTCTACCATTGACGTGTTTGTGTAAATACTAAATAAGCAATGGGAGAGTTGATTGAATTATATAATAAAATTATGACATATATTTAATTACTTGTATATGAGTGTAACCTTACACTTTTGTATCTGTGCATGTTCCAATTTGTAAGTATTATTCGTAAGATTAAAATACATGTATTTTGATAACGACATTTGCAACTTAAATATTGGTGTTCCGGTATGGGCCCAACCTCGGCAGGCCCAATACCACGTACGGCCCAACAGGCGAATCAGGCACGCCGGGCACGTGCATCCCTCGGGACGAGCAAGGCATGCCGCCGAACACTAGCAACGCCCCAACAACCTTTCACCATCCACCGTACCAGACGAGCAGAACCATTCCCGGCTCACCAAAGCGCGGCCGTGGTTCCTCCCCTCCGCGGGGAGAACAACGCGCTCCGGGGTATCTCGCGAGCTCCCCTCCGCGGGGAGAACAACGTGTCCGGCGCACGTTCTCCACGTGCTCCCCTCCGCGGGGACACGTCATCAACCAACTGCCCACCTCCGAAAGAGCAGGTCAAACCCACTTTCCGGAGATCTAGGAGTAATTGGACTAGGGCGAAGACCACGTCCCGGTCTTCACTACGCCACGTAAGCCCTAGCAGTCATTAGGGTTGGGCCTGGTCATCCAGCCCATCTCAAATGACCGTTGGCCCAGCGCTGGGGTCTCTCTATAAATACCCTCTTCCTCAAGAGGGTCAGGTATCTCTCTTCTTGCCCTTTTCTGTACTATTGCTTCCACTCTGCCCAACTTCTTATTTTGGCATCGGAGTGTCTTGCAGGTACACCCCCTCCTCCTTCTCATCACCGGTGAACACGTAGCCGTCCAGCAGCGTGTGGCCATATCGTGATCCCCTTCTGATCAGGTCAGATCAGTGGCGCCGTCTGTGGGAAACTGAAACTTCCCCGTTACTCCGAGCAGAAAACCAAAAGTTTCACCAAACCTCCACGATCATGGCTAGTCCACACCGCGACGACACTCCGCACGACCTTGCGCTCAACGTCGCCACCAACGGGAAGCAAACAGGAACGGCACGTCCGACGGAAGCCGATGAAAGGGACGGGCAAACTGCTTCACCATCATCCGCGGAACGGCCCCTTCAGGCCGATCACCTACCCCCGATCCCGCCAGCATTCCACCCCGTTCCCATCCCGGCGGGAGCAGACCCAACGGTGGCCGCTCTCTTTACGGCCATCAACCAGACGATCCAGCTGCTGTTCCAACAAAATGCGAGAATTGGAGCATTAGAACGCATCGGCCCTCCGAGGTACCCCCAGCGGGAAGACCAGAACGGAGGTTCGAGGAGTCCCTCACCTCGACCCAGAAACCGCCGACCGCGGCTGGAGAGACACCGCCCGCAGGTGACACGAGAACGCACCAGATCCCCGGCAAGACACGTTCGCGTGAGGAACCAGAACACCGCGGCGATCCCAACCGAGGACCCCCGAGGCGAGAACTCAGGCAGGAGATCGAGAACCCGAAACCAGGGGCATACCTTGAACGACTCATCTCCCCACAGATCCCCGGCGCACAGCGACGAGGATGATTATCGCACCCCGCTGTCCCGGGAGATCATGGCTGCCCCCATACCCCAGGGGATGGAGAAACCACCGACGCTGTCGACATACGACGACACCTCCGACCCGGACGATCACCTGGAAGACATCGAGGCTATGCTCGACTACCGAAACGTCCGGGGAGCTATCAAGTGCAGACTCTTCCCGACGACTCTGAGGAAAGGCGCTATGACCTGGTACAAAAGTCTGGAGCCCGAATCAGTTACGTCGTGTAGGGTCTTGAAGGGCCTATTCTCCAAACACTTTACGGCGTCCCGACGTCACCCGAAGACGGAAGTAGTCCTCGGGGCAATCATCCAAGGCCCCGACGAACCTCTCCGAAAATACATCGAAAGGTTCACTCGGGAAGCCGTGCAGGTGACAGCTTCCGACGAAATGAAACGCTACTTAATGGAACAAGGCCTGCGCCACGACTCCAAATTCTACGAGGCCGTAGGCATACACCGGCCCACATCCCTCCAAGATTTCCTCGACAGGGCCGCACATTACATCCGATTCGAGGAAACACAGGCGGCCAACTCCGCTCGCGACACTCGAGACAGGGAGGCCCCCCGCGAGCACCGAGACGACGGAGCTTCGAGCCATCGACGAGGAGGAGACCGCCGTCGGGAAGACCGCCCCCGCGAACCCCGCGAACAACGCGAACCACGCGGCCCGGCAGGAAGATTCACAGAGTACACAACCTTGGTCGCTTCACGCGAACGCATACTGGCCGAATGCGCTAAAACCGAGTTCGTTCAGGGAGGTGTCCGTTTTCCGCGACCAACGCCGCCCAAACCCAACGTGGACAAGTCAAAATACTGCCGATTCCACAGGACCCACGGGCACATGACGGAAGACTGCATCAATCTCAAAGATGCGATCGAAATTCTAATCAAAGACGGGCACCTGAAGCGATACACCCGAGGAGGTGAACCACCTAGGCCAAAGGCTCCGGAAGCCAAGAAAATCGAGGAACTTCCCTCTCCAGAGGACAGCGGCAGGCTCCAGGTCGCGTTGTGCGTCAGCCGCCCCGAGGATTGGTTTGCGGGCAGAGAATTCGGCATCCCCGAAGGACCCAACCTAATCGACGAGCCAATCCGACCAACCAGCCGATGGGAATACTTCCCCAGAGCCATGGTCATCTCTGATGGAGCCACGAGGAGTCTATCCATAGGATCTGTGTAAAGGAAATTCGACGAACTCATCGCGAACAACTCCGGCAAAATGAGCACGCTCGACAAATTCCGAGGCCGCTCCAACCCGATCACATTTTACCTCGAGGAACTACCCGGGGGATCTCCCAATTCCAACATACCCTTGCTCATACGTGCCCGAATGGCAAACTTCGACGTCAGGCGCCTCCTCGTCGACGGCGGGAGCTCGGTTGACATCATGTACTCACATCTGTTCACAACTCTCCAGCTCGACGAATCCCACCTCTCTCCCTACGTAGGCTCCGACCTTCAGGGGTTCAACGGGACGACGACGAGACCTTGGGGATACGTGGAATTGAAAGTCACCTTCGGAGAAGAGGAAACAGCCAGGGACATCAGCGTCCGCTTCTTAGTCATCGAATGCCCGTCCCTCTATAACTGCATCCTGGGCAGGACGACGATAGCAGAACTCACCGCGGTACCCTCCACCGTCCACCTGAAGATGAAATACTACACAAGAAGGGGAGCCGTGGTAACCCTCAACGGAGACATCGAAGCCGTCCGAAGATGTTTCGATGCCGCGCTGAAAGGCCTAGACTCCATCGCTCCATCGACCAAACAGAAAGCGTCAAGCGCTACGCTAAAGGACAAACCAACGGAGCTGGTCGGATCCGTTGAGCTCGACAGTCGCTTCACCGACGAGCTCGATAATGAAACAAAGACCAACGAAGTCAACGGGCAGCCCTCACACCCAGCGCGCCCCATCCTGGATGGAGAATTCGAACTCATTCCCCTCGGGGAAGACACGAGCAGAACCGTGAGGATAGGCGCAGGACTCCCAGACCTCGCGAAACGTCAGCTCCAAGCCTGCCTCCGTGAGAATGCCGACCTCTTCGCCTGGAGCGCCGCGGAAATGCCGGGACTCGACCCCGAGGTCGCCTGCCACCAGCTGTCCATCAACCCGACCGCAAATGCCGTTGTACAACGCCGGCGTCGCCAGTCCCCCGAAAAATCGGCAGCGGCCGAACAAGCTGTAAAAGACCTCTTAGAGGCAAATTTTATTTCGGAAGCCCGATATTCAACCTGGTTGTTCAACGTTGTACTCGTTAAAAAGAATAATGGAAAATGGCGCATGTGTGTTGACTACACTGACCTCAACCGGGCATGTCCTAAGGACGCCTACCCCCTCTCCAATATCGACAAGCTCGTCGACAACTCTGCGGGCTTCAAGCTCTTGTCCTTCATGGACGCGTACTCGGGATACAACCAGATCCCGATGGCCGAACACGATAAACAAGCCACGGCCTTCATGACGGCGTCGGGCAATTACTATTACAACGTGATGCCCTTCGGCCTAAAAAACGCCGGGGCCACATACCAGCGGATGATGAACCGTGTCTTCCGCGACGAAATCGGGGACATGCTCGAAGTATATATGGACGACATGATCGTCAAATCCGGCGCGGAGGACGACCACGCGGCACACCTCTAGAAGGTCTTCAAGACCGCGAGGTCATGTCGCATGCGTTTTAACCCGGAGAAGTGCACCTTCGGCGTCTGCGCCGGTAAATTCCTCAGCTACTACTTGACCGAACGGGGGATCGAAGCCAATCCGAACAAATGCCACGCCTTCTCCAATATCACCACGCCGACCACGAAGAGGGCCATCCAGTCCCTCAACGGCGTGCTTGCCTCCCTCTCACGATTCATTGCGAGGTCGGCCCAACACGCCCTCCCATTTTTCAAACTGCTCAGGAAGGAGACCAAATTCGAATGGACGGACGAATGTGAGAAAGCCCTTTGCCACCTCAAACGCGTATTATCTGAACCACCAGTGCTGACGCGCCCCGCGGCGGGCGAAACCCTATACTTATATCTGGCCGTGTCCAACGAAGCCGTTAGCGCCGTCCTCGTAAGCGAAACCGGGGAGGGACAAAAGCCCATCTACTTTACTAGCAAAGCTCTCCACGGCCCGGAAGTCCGATACTAGCTGATCGAGAAAGTCGCCCTGGCCCTCGTGACAGCGGCACACCGACTCCGACATTATTTTCTCGCACACGCCATCGTGCTCCGCACCGATCAGCCCATCCGCCAGCTACTCGGCCGCCCCAACATGGCCGGACGCATGCTGAAATGGTCGCTAGAACTCTCCGAGTTCGACATCACCTACGAGAGCCGGCACGCCATCAA